TCAATTAACAAACGGAGACGTAACAATATCTTGAATACGATTGATAAAAAATTATATAATTGAGAAGACCGATGTTTGAAAGTGACATTATCCATCTCTCACACATTTATAACCATTTAGTAGATATTACTTTCTATTTAATGTCATGCAAAGATACATTTTAAAATACAAAAATTCTTTAATTTTTTGTATCTCTGCTTTTATTCGTACGTTGAGTTTTTCGAAAATGAAAGGTGCGAAACGTGTTCAAAATTATTTTATTACTAATAAACTAAATACATCATTTTGAAATTCCAGCTAATTAAAAAAATCGAAATTACAACAACTTAAAAAAAAAAAAAGTCTTATTTAATGAGAGTCAAAAATGTTTACTATAATTTCACACAACCACCGGGTATACTTTTTCGATAAAAACTATAGAAATGTTGTTTAAACAAAAATATTCTAAGAATGTATATTAATAGTATGATATCATAGCCACCCAGTCTTTGTTAGATTACGCTTAACACATTAGATATAATCTAACATACAATAAAACAAAACAAATCTTGGTGTAATACTATGGTTATTCATGTAAAAAAAATACTACATAATTATGGCATAATAATAAAACATTAAAATACAAAGCAGCAATGAAATTGTGGCGCGATATGAAAGTTAACAAAAAGGCCTGAAAATTCAATGTAGAATTGTTTATATTTAAAGAACAACAATGCTCAAATTGATTTTAAATTCAGTATAGGTTTTTGTAACAACGTAAATCGAGCCGCTTATGCTGGCGAAACGGTACGTGGTTAATAAATACGAAAAGAGCACATTGTACTAATTTCTAGGATTGGCGCTAGAAGCGTTACTATAGCAACTGTTCACTGCTGGCAACCGTACTTTCTGTCCTCACTCCTGCTGGCTACAGGTTATAGGGCTTTCTGGAGATGCGGGAGGATAATTGCTATAATGTAGCAGTCACTCTTCAACTGAAGGACGCACTGGGAAAATGTTTGATACTAGTGACTAGCACAATATCAGGATAAATGCAGTAATAGAAAATGGTGGTGGCAACACTAAACATTTGCTATAGTGGCGCCGCCTAGTAGCATATCCAGAAATCAATGGGGATATATTTCCCATGGTCTCTTTACAAGTGCGTGCAAAATATTTACCATCTCCTATATTACAGTTTGTTTACAGATTCTTCCAATAGTCCATATTAATTTTCTAGCCACCCTTTATACTTTAATTTATTGAGCTAATTTTAAATGTGATATTGAATAAAGTTATCTTTTTACCACCAGAAGTATTTATTATTAATATTAACGTAAACACATTTCCTATTTTGCATATAATTAGGCATTTCATGCATGAATAATAAGCTGTGTAAATTTGTTACATTATGCCAGTTAAATCGGAAAGTTATTTTTATCATCATATATGCAGCACAGCTGAATTGATATAACTAGTTTTAATAGAATATTTATTTTGCAAGTTATTCTTATTCGTTATCACGGTTTAAAACTATAATACATATTAGTACTACGAAATTTGAGTCAACAATTTAACAAGTAATTCGCAGGACATACACTTTAGAGTTTAGAACTCCTGAAATGAGACTAATAATGGTTGGAAACGCCTTGAATGGGTAATGAAGAAAAACTTGAATGTAAGTGAAACACTGTACATTTGCCGTCATGTTAAACTTAAAGTTTTTCTTGATTACCCATTCAAGCCGTCTCCAACCATTATTAGTCTCAAAGTGGGTTAACCTTTGTGGCGCCATCTGTTGTACTCTTTTGAACTTGATTTTTAAATGTTGAAGTTGTAGGTTATCACATATTTTAATATACTGAGTTACTAATAACTTATCCCTAAAATTCTGTATATGGAATGACAAATTTTACTGTGAAGTCTTTAAAAAGTAAAAGATCCTTTGTAGACCAGCATTAGTTGATTGTTTTAATAATCCTACTTTAAATTTCTAACTGTAATAAGGAAATAAAGTTTTAACTGAATGTTAAATAAAAATCTACAAAGTCTAAATTAGTTGTAGCAAGCTTTTAAAGCATTTTTTTTTGTTACAGGCCATAAAATTATCTTCAATATCGAAACTATGGTTGTTTACAACAAGAATACATAGAAATATTTTAGTAGTCAAGAATAAGCTGTAAAATTCTGCTCGTATATGCTTTTGAGAGTCGATTATGGCTAATGTAGTTAAACAGCTGTCTTCTCTTTTTTTTCTAGGGTAGAAACAAAGTTATATTAAAACATGACAAACAATTCCGCGTTGTTATTAGTTGCAACAAACAAACTTCAAAACACAGTTCCTTTTATTTTAAAATTTTATTTCACAACTGACAATAACTGTTGTCTAGAATAAACTTAAATTTTATTTTCATTAATAAAGTTGTTTTTTTTAACATCAAATTAAGAAAAATAAAATTAATAATAAATTACAAAATGTTATCAAGTCATTTTTTAACATCTGACACATGAACCAGCCCGGCACCTTGATGTCGGTTAGACAAAACGAAGTCGTTTGGCATTATTTTCGAAGTTATGTCGCTCGACTAGACCCGTGACCTGACTCGAGACCATGAGAGCCAACACGGAGAAGTTAACTTGTAAATGTAAAGTAAATTGATGTAGTAATAAAACATGCTTGAAATGTTCTAGATGTGGTTGTGAATGTGATTAAACTAAACCGTGAGTCCAGGTCGGATGAGGGAAGAACTTATTGTAATATATCCCAATCGATTTGACATACCAGCCGAATAGAAGATTCGTCAATTGATTACTGAACAGACAACGAAACAAAATATGAGCACAATAGCATCGTTATTTTGAAATATATGCAGAAAAGTTGAACGATGCATTACAAGATCCTAGTGATTCTCAAAATTTAAAATGCCATTTCTTTAATTTTTTTTTCGTCTTAGTTGTGGCGAGATTCGTTCATTGAGATCTATCAAAATAACTAAGTTGGCTAGTGTGATAAGTGTTGAATAATTTCATTACTGAACTGTATAAAAAGATAAAATCCACTGCTTAAAGAGAATAACCGGAATTTGAAATATTACAGCTATGACAATGCAAAATCAGTTACAAGATATAGTCAATCACCAGTTCAGTTAATATGTATGCAACTCAGGCATGTGATAAGTCATATGATGTGAGAAGTAAGTTGTTGGTCAATCAGCCCACGCTAATAAATATATATTTGGTAGGTGTGGTTTTAGAACATTACAGCACATTCGATTTTCATGTGAAATATGGTTACCACTGACAGCAAGAACAGTGACACTAATGTTGCTGTTTAACATGGATACCGAATTGTAGTCGACCTCTCTTCTGAAAAAAAAAAAAAACAAACTGCTTTTAGAGCATCTTTTAGTCCAGTGAACGTGAAGTCCATTTTGTTCGTCCAATTTAACTAATTTAGATGAGGAAATAAAAGTTTGAGACGAACTTGTTTATTTAAGTTGTAAAAGAATTTATATGAATTAAATTTTTGCTTATTAGTTATTAATAAATAAAGTGCTAAGTTTGTTTTAGCATAAAGCTGCACAATAGACTCTGTATGCCGTGTCTATCGCGAGGATCGAACTTCAAATTCTTCACATCTGCTGCAGAGCAATTGGCTTATATTAAAGACTGTCTTTGTTGGGAAACAGATTATAAAGTAATAGATGTGCAAGATGATGATATAATGCTCACACATCTTTATTCTTTGCACTCACGTGAACAGTCCTAAGTACTAATAAACTGTGTAAACATGTTTATTAGTGAGTACGTTTCTATATACTTGTTTAAAACATGAAAATAGTCTTCTAAGAAACATTAGATAACTTAGTAACAAGTACTAATAAACTGTGTAAACATGTTTATTAGTGAGTATGTTTCTATATACTTGTTTAAAACATGAAAATAGTCGTCTAAGAAACATTAGATAACTTAGTAAAAAGTACTAATAAACTGTGTAAACATGTTTATTAGTGAGTATGTTTCTATATACTTGTTTAAAACATGAAAATAGTCTTCTAAGAAACATTAGATAACTTAGTAACACTACCATTCGTCTGTTTGTCACGATCTAATAATTCTTTAAGCTCCTTGTCAGTCGCCTCTTCATCTTCATCTGGCCAATGAAGTTCTACACCCAAGTAGTATAGCCAGCCACCAATGATAGCTCCTAGGTGGGGTCCTACTACCCCGATCCACCAGTAATTGTAGTTACGAACACTTGAAGAAAAACAATGACTTTGAACATGCAGAAACAAGTTCAGAGACGTACACAATTTACTAAATGGAATTGAAACAAGATAAATGGGTGAAATATTACTTTGTTTTTATGAAACTTGTTGTACATGATCTGCATTCCACAATAGGTAGTTTGTTTTGTTTTTACTAAAACTTTACGTTCTATAAATTAAAACGAGCATAAGTGTGTGTAGAGAGTTTTCAAAGTCTAACTATAAGATTTCAGTCTTGTTAGATAATTTAACAACCTTTAGAGACGTGATTGGTCATATACCAAAGTAGGATTTACACTAAAGAAACTGAAGTTCCGATTACGAATCTTATACAATTAAAGAATAAAATTATAATTTTAACACAGCTACTGTAATTTTACATCATATATTATTACTAACACTTCAAATAAATTAGCTCATAGTGTAGATTCAGCAACTTGACTAACGCGAACTGTTGTTTCACTAAGCCCAAACATTTACAAGCTAAATTTAGTGGAATATTGTTAATGATGTTATAATCGGGTTTGATTTAACTCAGCTTCATGTAAACTTCAAAATGAACTTTCACATTAATAACAAGACATGGTTGTAGCAAGTAATTTAACATACACCACACGTATTTCTTAACATAGATATTAGGGCATAATTTTTCAGCCTTCAAATTTATGAATTTAGTTTATAAATTTTATAAAGCACTTAACATTTTAAACATAAGAATAACACAGACTAATAACTAAGTAATAATTACTAATATATATTAACAAGTCAACCCAGTTTTATATCTTACAAAGCAGAACTGGTTAGGCATGTTTCTTTCAAGTGCCATTTTCTTATTCGGGTTTTTTTGTTTCTAAAGATGTGTTCGTGTGAGAACAATTTTTACTAATGTTTAACATGTCGATAAAGTACAACTAACTTTCAAATACTGGTAGCCAGCATGTAATATAATAACATGCTTACTAGAAATGCAGTTCTAATAGTACGGTTGATAAACAGGTATAAAGGGATAAAGATGTGGAAGCAGAAGAGTATTAAGAATTCATATGGAAGTTCCCAGAAGATATGGTTATTGCGTTTTGAGAGCGATTATATTTAGCTTTGTACAACTGACAGTTGTGGAACAGTTTATGAGCATCTGTATTTTCGATGAATATGATAAATTACTTGTAGGTTCATAACTGTAATAATTATAAAACGATTTTAACCTCGTGTAAAACTTTCTACAATTTACTGAAACTGTTTTATATATTTATAGGATTTAAATATTTAATTGTTTAGGCAAAATAAAAGATTCAAAAGGGAAACGGGGGGGGGGCATTCCGTTGTATTACTTGTATAAATACATTAGCCACTGAGTAAAGGGAAACGAGGGGGGGGGGTATTCCGTTGTACTACTTGATGGATATTATCAAATAAAGATAGTAAAGACTCACCTGAAAGGAGCAGAACCCCAGCCAGCGACGGCAGTAAAGACTCGAGTAGCAAAGTCACGAGCTGGATTCAAAGCAGCCATGCAATTTGCCCCAAAACACATAGCCAGAGCAGCGATCATAAAACCAATGGCAATTGCAGCACCCCAGAGTGGGAATTTGACATTTCTTTGGTCAATAACGGCTACCACAGTGAACATTAAGATGCCAGTACCTACAATCTGACGATAAATGAAACTAAATAACATCAAAATATTTAGGAAAACTAGTGAATAGAATAGGAACACAGATAAATGGTCTTCACATTTTCTATATGGTTGTTGTTTTAGAGCAAAGAAATACAATGGGCTACCTTCGTTTTGACCACTGCGGGTAATCGAACCCCAGATTTTATCGTTTTAAGTCTCTAACCTTACACCTAACCCATAGGGGGAAAGAGTAATTTTTTCTAACATAAAATATAAAAAAATCATAAAACACTTAATAGTTTACTGAACCAATATGTAGTTACATTTTTAATACATTGCAATAACAGTGTTGGTGTTATATTGAGTTTGATTTATGTCAAATCTCCCTGGATCTGAGATCCGAAACCTGCTTTAGATGCTCTTAAATCTAAAGGGGGGGGGGGAGAGCTATGATTTTAACACTCCCCGGTTGCATCATGAATTGACATTTCACTGATGTAAGTAAAAACGTTACTTCTCCTGCAATCCCCACCCACACCCCCAAATAGCCTCAACAACGTTGAAAGTGTTACCTTCTAAGAGAGTGGGTCAGTGGCAAATTTACAGAATTACAATGCTAAAATCCGGGGTAGCATTGTGCCAAAACAAACAAGAATCGGTGTGTTTTTTTTTTTCTTTATGGAAATTAAGTACTTGCATTATATGCCCATGAATGTTAAACCCTATTTCTCAAGGTTCCTTTACAAAACATGAAAAATAACGCGTAATCAGACACCAACATTCGCATATATTTGCTTTTAACTTGTGTATAGTTAACAAGCGTTGATTTCCAAGGTTTTACTTGACATGTTGGTAACTCAGCAACAGAATTCAGAACTTAGCTTTAATTATACGAAATCTTAATTTTTTTTACTTCATATGCAAATAAATTTCCGTTTGAAAAGGAGTAAACAAATTCTTTTAAACAAAATCTTACTACTATCTTTCCATCCTTAATTAAATTTTCCACGTAGCTCGTTTTTTTTTTTTTTTTTTTTCCTTTGCACTTTTCTTGGCAAACTTTACAACACTAGAAACGCAGAAGAACAATACAGATTTATTAACAACGAACTGAAGATCTGTTTATAAGTCAAACAATTTAATAAAGTTAAAAAAAACTATTGCCAAGCTCATTTTACCTGGTCTAGAAAACAATTAGGAATAGAAACATATTCTTTGGGATAAGTAGCCCAGATGTAGCCTGTTCCTGTTTCTCCAACAATTGTTCTGTTCCCGCCATCAAACCAATTTAAAGCATCTGTTTTGATGAAAAAAAAAACAATGCCATATTATAGCAAATCATTTGATATTAATTTATATAAAGGAAGTCCAATAGAAAACAACAAAAGTCAACTTATCATTACTATGATAGTTTTAAAAATTAAGAGATCCACAGTTGTTTTTTTGTTTTAAATCAACATCAAGTATGTTTGCTCATAAAACGCTTAGTCATTTATTTGATTCGAATCCAGCTCGTGTTTGCTTTCACGTTCCAATACATCCAACTTGCAAGTAATATTTGAATAGTCTACGTTAGGAGCTTTAAACTCAATGACAAAATATTGAAGTGGCTTTGTTTGTATAATATAAGGTTTGTGGAAATAAATTAACATTGAAGAAAATGAAGCTGGTTTATAGCTAGTCAGCCAAGTAAGAACTAAGAAAGCACCCTAAATATTTTCGTAAAGTATACGTTTACTAAATCTTCTGTAGGTCACTACGCTGAACTGAAACCTTCTAGGCGTGTGTAACAAAATTTATTGGATGACTACACGATATTTTGTGCTCGTAGCTATTGACCAAATTTCACAATCGCTTACCATTAACAAATTTCGTTTCATTTGAAAGTTAAGCCACTGTTGATTCCAACGTCACAAAACAAGTATATAAAGGGATAAAGATATGGAATACGAATATTAAGGATTCAAATGGCCACAAGGTATGGTTATTGCATTCTGATGATTTTATTTTGTACAATTTACCAGTTGTGAAACAGTTTACGAGTACTTGTATTTTCAAAGAATATGACAAGTTACTTATTGATAAGCGTAACTATAAGAAGACTGTCACTTTTGAAAAATAATCTTTACAAAAATATTTCCTTTGGATAAGCCTCTGAAATACTAGGTGACAATCCCAGGGCACTAAAGGCACTAACTCGTCATGTGTAGGCCAGTTCTACCTGTTTTGAGTGTGGAACAAACGCTGCTCACAAATAGAACTGAGAATCTAAATGAATTTAACAAATCTATACCCACTAGTAAAACAATAGCAAAGGAAAAAGAAATACAAAAATTGTCTTAAAATGTAGGAAAATGCTAACTTGTGTATAAAAGACAACGGACTAAAAAATAAATGTACTCACTTTAAGAAAGAGGAAGTAGAATTTTTTTTTTTTTTATTTATAATCAGTAGTGACCGAAAGGCCTCGTCGGCATTTGATCATTTACTTTCGCTCATGGGTTTTTATAATTAAAAGCAGAACATATTCACGTTTAGGTCTGGAAAAGCTAAAACTAGATTCTTTAAGAAAGATTATACATAGGGTTCTCAGTAATATGGTTTAATACGAACCAATGTAGGTAAAGTAAACAACAGCTGAAGCCAAAAACCCGCCAAGGTGCTGAGCAGCCAAATAGTGAGGAACTTTTCTCCATGGAAACTTGCCTAGAGAGGCAAATGCTGTTGTTACTGCAGGGTTGATGTGACCACCTAAACAGAACAAAAGATAAACATGTAATGAAGGTTAATGGGAAAATGACGTATTGAAGCATTTTAAAACTATTGTGCTATATTTTATTTTACAGAATAATCCAAGAGACCTTCCCAACGATAGAAACAATTACATCAACAGCCTCATATTTATTAGCTCTAAACAATAACAAATGCTGGGCATGTTTGTCTTATCGAAACCAGGCTTAACAAAAATCATATATAGTACCTAATCTTACAGTAAAACGAAACAGGTAAAGTAAGGCAATTATTCGAACGAAACTTGAAAGCATTAAAAATGAAAAAAGGCATGGATATAGAATGGTAAATATATTTAACGCAGTTACGAGTAAAGGTGTAACAGGATATGAACGTAAATTCAGGAGCGTTCTGCAAGCAGTATTTGTCTCTCACTAATCTCAGGAGCTTCTTACCTGAAACACCCATGGAAGTAGCCAAACCCATCATCACTCCAACACCCCAGGCAAACACAACAGCAAAGACATCGCTAACCCCACGGCCTTCCAACACTGTCTGGGCAAAAGCAGCATCACCAAAAAGCTACAAGATGGTAACAAGTTCATTACTTTGAAAGTACAAGTAACAAACCAGTAGTTGCGTGCTAACGAATTCTATAATTTTTAAAATAAGTTATTTTTGGAAGGTGCAGTACAAAATAATGTGACGTGTAAACCGATAAATTATGAAATATTAAAAAAAACAGCTATACTACAGGGCTAGCGCATCGATGGGCGGTGCACCCGCAAATTTCACCCTGACTTACAAACTCCATTCTCCCTAGCGGTTTAGAAAATGTTAATATTTTTCAAAAATAGTATGGTTTTTTAATCGCTAAGAAGTAAAAAGAAAAAAAGCTACATTACCCTCTCCCCAAGAGAAAGGCACTGGAGCTGGGTCTACGGTGCTGTAAAATCTATAGAAATCAGGTGACTTAAAATTTAGATTTAATTCGAACGCATCATGGGTTTAGGCACGCCACTTTAAATACACACTATTATATATTAATAACATTACAATAGTTAATTCATTCATGGGTAGTTTACCTATTTTTCGGCAAATAGCAACAGCGCCACCAACTTTTTAAAATGTGAATTCGAATTGTCAACCTGAATAATCTATGTGCACCTGAATTAAACAGCTAGTGTCAGGGACATCTACGAATCGAGTAAAGCCCTCCCTAATTTTGAATTACTGGCCAGGGGCAAGGCAGCTTGCCAACAGTACCCACCGAAAAAAAAAAAAAAGTTAAGTGTCTACAGCTGAAAATGGGAAGCATCTTTTGAATCTTTCAGTTTCGTCACTACCTGATAAACGTATCCGATTTATATATTTCATACATTTAACTTAGGACTAGAAAATTTGCAGTTCATACAAATATTTATCTTAAAACAGATCTACGAGTCATCTTTTTATTGATGTAAAAAGTTAACTTTTAAGGTTTACACATTAAAAACTAACATTTTTATCTGAAATTGACAAGGTTATCGTGAACAGAAAATTACAGAATGTATTAAATAGTTAGACCTACTTTAGCTCATTTGTCGCAATAATGTGTTAGAATAATATCTGTCATAAGACATTAGTATTAGGTCTATTAAATTTTTTTAAATACTGTATTCCTTATGTAGTCTGTTAGAAATTCCATTGCCGACGACTTTCAGTTCAGAGCTCTTCAGGCCGGCAGGGATATAAACACAGTAGTGGTCGGAACACTTTACATAAGGCACTTTATACAATAACAGTTGTAAAAAGCATACGTATCACAGCAATATTGTATTAGGCCTAGACCTTTATCAATCAACATACTAATCAACAAAAGTAACGAGTATATTAATCAACACAGCCTAACGCTCCGCTGCTATAATTACTTCTTACAACTAATAAAGGTTATAAATAAGCTTAGATCATGAAGATGTAGTAATACGAGAGTACGATATTTCGAATAGTAGCATTCACGACAAACGGCAAAGTCTAGCACTGGCAAGTCTTAAGCAATAGGCTTAACAGTAGTTTGGTGTACGGCAATCAAGGAAGCATATGACATATTATACTCTGCATATCTAAATTGTGCGTATTGGATTAGATGGCAAAGTTATTAGAGTTAAGGAGCAAGTGCTATTTATTTTACATCAGTAATGTAAATGAAACTAAAATGGATAAACTCCCCTGTTTGATGCTCTAAGCCAGACGATGGCATGGTAGGAATTTAGATGCTTTTTCTACGAGAAGTGGGTAAATGCTATACCATCCAAATTAGAAGTAGGTAAACGCCGACTATACTTTTAACTATACCATTGTTTTACTTTTTTCTTTGAGTCATTTAGACTTGGACGCTGATGCATCACCGGTGATCCTCGGGCAATTTTTACTTGGGGCACCCATCTCTTTTCTAGGTAGAAGTCTTTAATTTAGCAGTGAAAGACTAGAGGGAAGACAGCTAGTAAACACCACCAACCGCCAACTCTTGGGCTGCTCTTGCATTAACGAATAGTAGGATTGATCGTCACATTATACGAAGTTGTTCAGCGATGGGGATTCGAACCTGCGACCTGCAGATTGCGAGATGAGCTCCCTAACCTCCAGGCCATGCTAGGCCTCCCCATTATTACCAGTAGTGAGTATTACCGAAAAGAGAGTTTAAGATACCACCTACTCGTATACACATATTACAAACTATTTTATGTAATACACAAACAAACTATTATTCCCTTTCAACTTTACAAAAATGCACTTTTGTATGAAATCCGTGCATGAATTGATGAAGTTAATAACAAGCACGACAAATATTCATAATAATTTGAAAAAAAAAGGTTCATAGTTGGGCCATTATGTCAGTTACTTCTAAAAAATATACATTGGTTAGAGAAAAAAAAATGGTTTGGACAAGGACAGCTGACAAATATACACAAAATAGTTTTTGAATAAAAGTAAACCGACATGAAAGTTTTCTGCTTATAAAAGTAACCTAGCGATCCTAATTTGCTATATATTCAATGCGTTATGTGCTTTGGCTTGTATAATTTACAGTTTGTGTTTGAATGAGGTCAAGACAGTTTCACTCTACTATACTGAAAGTAGAGAGTTTGTTGATAGAAAATAATAACGTAGTTTTTAACGAAAAAAGAAAAGAGATGAACTTCTATATAAACAGTGAAAACGACGAGGCTGAGTTCCAGTTTAGTAAGGGAGGAACGATCAAAGCAAAATAAACGTAAAAAAAATCTTATATCAACCTAATTAAAACAAGACATTGCAAGAAAATTCAGATTTTAGTAATAACAAAATGTATTTTATCTTTTTAATTGTAGTCTCTAGATATGTTTCGGTTGTTAAAATAAGCTTTATAGGATCAACGTTAAACTGCTTAGAAGTTCTTGAAATGGAAGTCAAACATTGCAGTCTTCCGAAGCGTGCAAAAAGTTGATTCTCCTGTTAGCGCCATTATTATTATTAACTATTCCTTATAAAACAAACTTAGGAAGTCAGTCTGTTTATTTCGTGAAATATGTGTGTAGTAAACAATTTTGTGTTTTTTTTTTTATTATTTTTTTTGCATTGTGGACGCCCCCAGTAGCACAGTGGTATGTCTGCTGACTTACAACGCTAGAATCCGGGTTTCGATACCCGTGGTGGACAGAGTACAGATAGTTCATTGTGTAGCTTTATGCTTAATTACAAACAAGCATTGTGGACACACAGAATTTTCTCCGAGTCATAAATATCCTGTTCACAAAATTGTTTTGTTTCGCTTCTTTAATTTTTACAATATGCCATCGATACCGTAACGATGACTGCCAAAGCAAATACCGCAAGTATTTGAGAGATAAGTGAAACGTGTCAAATACGTGGAACGTTTAAAGTTGTGAAACAGGCACCTAACGTTATCAAGCCACTTAAACTTTATACAGTAACTATAGATGCGCAAGTCAAGGTTCCAGAGACCTAACTAATCTGGTAGATACTACGTACGGCCTCTATGTGTAGAACACTTGTATTATTTCAGTATTTCCAAAGATGCACTATCCTCGTGATACCCTCGTATTATCCTTCTTTCACATATTCGCAAATATAATATTCTCCGAACTATCAGTAATATATTTTATATAAAAAAAAAATAGTAGGTTACGTACAAACGCTCAGTCACTTTGTTCCCACAACAACAAAAAAAGTCTCGTTTAAATTCAGTTATTGCTGTTCATGGGTATAAGAATTAGTACAGTCATAATAGTATCAGGTGGCGCAGCGGTGAATGAGGGTTAAAATAGTTATTCTTGAGTACGAGTCCCAAGCTTAAAAGATCTTTTCAAAAACCCTGTACTTTTTCTTTAAATGTACAGTATTGTTTGTTTGTAATTAAGCAAAAAGCTACACAATGGCCTATCTGTGCTCTGACTACCACGGGTATCGAAACCCGGATTCTAGCGTTGTAAGTCCGCACACATGCCGCTGTGCCACTGGGGGGGGGGGGGGCGTACAGTATTGAGCTGAGAAAGAAGATACGAGTATCGGTCGATTGATACATTTAGAAGTGGTAGCTCCAGTTATATTTGAGTACGACTTCCATGTTTTTGTTGGATTATGGTTATGTTTATTCGACTAACGAGATGAAAATTAATTATTTGTCCTTGTAATTTATAGTGGTTGATTTTATAGTGGTCACATATAGACGCTTCTTACCATGTCAATACACCGTGTGAAACTGAATATAGTATAAGAAAACCTTTATACTTCTTACGTAGCTAATCCATATATAATCTTCGAAATATCTTAAACCTAGTTTGAACGACCAATTTCTTAAATTGGACTCTGTATTTGAGTCAGAATTATTCTGGTAGAACTTACATGTACTGGTTTCGTGTTTCGTCATTTAAGCTATTAAAAAAAATTTCTATATTCAAACGTAGTGAGAAGTAGCTTTTCAAAATAGAATAAGCTTATGCAATGATTTAATACACATTAACAATACAAACTTTTGATACCATGCTTTAGATTTGTAGCTGTGGAAAAAACAAAAAACAACATCATAATGGAAGTATATACACACACACACACACACACACTATTGTTTTAAGTGAACATGGACATGGTGGTCCACAATCTTTAGAATTAATTGTAAAGAAGTTTCTAAGGTGATTCAGTTTATTGTACTCTTTTATTTCCCTGCACCTCTTTAATTGGGAAAATATCTAGTACGCCAGTAAATATTTAGCAAAATTGTTGTACGTATCATTTTCTCGTTAAGTTAAGACCTACATAATGGACTATCTGAACTCTCCTCACTACAGGTATCGATACCCGAATTTTAGCGTTATAAATCCTCAGACTTGCCAGTGAGCCACCGGGGGCACGTATCGTTTAATTTTTCTAGTTATAACATTTGTGTTAGTTTTAGTTGCTTTAGTATGTAAAGAGAATTACTTATTTTCAGAATGTTAAAAAGTTTGATTATTCGATATTACCAAGCTACAGTACGAGCTATCTGTTCTGTGACCAACATGCTATCGAAACAGTTTTTAGTATTATAAGGCTTCAGATTTGCCGCTGAGCTACTGATAAAGTACAAATTAAGTAAAAATCGTAATGATATTGAACTTCAAGCTTAGAAAACGTTGATGAAGAACGAGTAGTGGAAAACAAGTCACTAAAAGTAGGTTTGTTTTTTGAATTTCGCGCAAAGCTACACGAGGGCTATCTGCGCTAGCCGTCCCTAATTTAGCAGTGTAAGACTAGAGGGAAGGCAGCTAGTCATCACCACCCACCGCCAACTCTTGGGCTACTCTTACCAACGAATAGTGGGATTGACCTTCACTATATAACGCCCCCACGGCTGAAAGGGCGAGCATGTTTGGTGTGACGGGGATTCGAACCCGCAGATTGCGAGTCGAGTGCCCTAACCACCTGGCCATGCTGGGCCACTGAAAGTAGGACAAAAACGTTTATAGATGAACAGACTGAAAAATACGAATACAACAGTCACAATTTAGGACACATAGAATATAGATTGATAGATTTAGTTTAGTCAGGATATTCTTCATTAGCACTAAAGTTTTGCAATCACTACGATTATAGATAGTCATTTCATTCTTACACAGAAGTTACTGCCACTTACATGCTGTAATATTTACAATACAATACCATACAAATGTCGTTCACTCGAAGGAAAACTTACTTGCTGTACCTACTACATAGATATTTTTAACATGGGATGCTATAAATTATTTAACTACGTCACCAGAAAGTAAGTGCTTGAAATAGGAAGTTACTGAAGTGTTTTAGAGAAACTGCATACACAAGTACCGCTGAATTCATTTAGATAAATCAAGTATACGCTGAGAGTAAAATGACGTCATAAGTTATGGAGAACCACCAAACTATACACTATACTCGAATGTTTACACATCTATTTTTAGAGCTCAGCCCAAGACATTACTGTGTACAGTGATCAGAGCCAAAGTAAGGCTGGAACTAAGCCACAAACCGACCATAAGTGTTGCTAAAAACTTACCTGACCGCAATAGTAAATAACGACTTGCTACTTCGAGCTTGCTGCTTTCTTACTTCATATTTATACGTAGTTGATATCTTCCTTGTAAACGTTTGTAGTTTTTAGAACTGTTTGCTAAGCGTTATTTAATCCCCTATGCGCAGCAGGTAGTATGGACCTTCAGGAAACCGAGAATGGGCATATACTTTTTTTAAAAAAATATTTTCAAACGATTAAGGTTAACCAGCGCATTTCATCTCCGTTATATTTTACGATCCAATTTCTAGCTGTATTACGTTTACGATTAAGTAGCAATTAACTGTTTGGTGGATGTTATCTATACATACTATCACAACTTAAGATAAAAATACCTCGATGGTTGATTATGCTGTATTAAGATGATTTTGAATACGCAAGTCAGTGATGTTAAGTTGCGGTGTAACAGATTGTATCAATTGCATTTTGAGTTTGCCTGGAGTTTCGTGGCTAGTGCGATGTCACACACACACACACACACACACACACAAAAGAAAAAAAAATTGGTCGCTTTTAGAAAAGGTATTTGACAGTCCTTTTTGACTCAGAGTATTCATCTTATCATCAAGATGAAAATTCTAAATTCCGGATCTAAACCTAAGACGGTTTTATCCCTTGTACTTAATAGCATTGGAAAAAATGAATATGGATCAACTGGGGACACCAGGATCATCCAAGAAGCGACCTGCAATAAGTCATACCCAAACCGTGGAAAACAAAATTCGGCGTCCTATAACAGATGACAATTCTTAAACAAAAGGCAAAGCTGACAACGTGCTATAGGCTACAGTATGCAGCATACTGTAGAATCTCTGCTGGAAAAGCGACACAAGTCACAGGTACACAAGTTGATTTCACAATATATCCATTTAGTTGTCACTTACCTAAAGCAGGTGGAGAAATTAATATAATATTCATGCTATTCCATACGAAGACATACAAGTGAAGTCGCCTGATGCAGGGCTTATGGAGTTTTGTGCAACTCGACTTTTTGAAACTGGCTCTGGAAAACTGTTATACTCCCACACTAAATTATGGAAAATGTTAGGGAGAAGGGGTGTGCTTTGGACATGACAGCCTTAGCACTCTTACGATAGAACGTTTTACAACTGACACTACGTACAGGGCTATTGTCAAAATCTACGGTCAAACAGAGTAAGACGTAGGAACATTGTAACGAATTGTCGAGATTTCAAAATAGTTTTAACGGACAATCATATTAAAGACGTTGAGTACTTTGAGAAAAATTGTCTGTGGAAAATAAATACATAGTAACTTTGCGAGACGAAAAATAAAAGCTGAATGTGAATTCACCAAAACATGAAGTTTAATTTGATAAATGTACTAATGTTAGTCCTATGAATATGTTTGGAAGGGGTGGTTTAGTGTTAAGGTCCGTTGTGATTTTTCATATCCCCCCCCCCCATGTCCGCTTTAAAAATGGAATAATGCTATTCAAATGCTCACGCGTATTTAAGTGTATTATATTATATAAAATATTCTTATATGAAGTACAATCTGAAACATTTTTCGGCTCGCGACTTGTTTTATCTAAAGTTCCTATAAATGTAGATGATGTGGTAATTAAACACTCCAATTTTTACTAGTCTATAGCTTCTTCGTAAAATATAGTCGATTCAAAGAACAGGTTAGGCCTCTATATACTCTTTTCTTCACCGGTAGTCTGGTCTTAGTGAGGAAAGTAAAGCGAAATATAGTCAAAATTCTGTTCTGTACTTCACACCTATACGCTAGGCCTTAAAAGTTAAGTGCTTAAACATATATTCTTGCTTAAATTTTGTAAAGCTTAAAAACTACACAATGCGCTATTCGTGTTCTGCTCAACGCTGGTATCGAAGCCCCATTTATAGTGTTAAAATCTCATTGACTTACCGCTGAGCCACCGGGTGGGGGGGGGAGGGGGGACGATGACCATTTTTTCTTGTCCTGATGCTTCATTGTGGTAAATTTCAGGAACTTTCATTGCTTTTACAAGTACTTAAAAACTAACGTCAGATAATACTCTTATCCATAAAACACCAACCTTATCAAACCAGTTCCTCAATTAATATTATCTCAGATGTTGACCGAAGTTATTTCGTCGAGTTTTGTCATTGTGATATATTAAACTTACCACGTGTTTATTATTATGAACGTTTTGTTGTTCACGAAATTTCAGAGTTTCACAAGTGCACTTGTTAGATACGTGGTTCTGAACTGTGTTGACCTTACCGTTGAGCCATCCACACGTAGTCTTAGGTCATTCCTCCTTCGTACTTTTTTTCCAAGGTTAGTGTTGCTGGAGAATTTCTTTAGGGATGCTTTGACGGGTTTCCTGACTGCAGTCGTGGGAAGGTGTAGATGCATGAAACAACCAGTCTTGCAAAGTTTTTCGTAATGAAATTCACAAAGGTAATCTTGGAGATTAGACTATTGGAGTAAGTATATGCCGATTGCCTTTCTAAATCTCAAACTAAGTTCTTTATTCAGATCTTTCTCAGCTCTTCAAACAAAGTTTAGTATTTTGTGTATTCCAGCTATTGAATTAATATCGTATTATTTCTTTTATTTTCTATGTTAATGAAGAGTTTCGTTTTATTGAGAAACTTTGTTGTCAAGTCTAGTTTATTTCAGCCTGGGTTAAAACTAACATCTTCTGATTAACCTCTTGCAGAGTGGTTACTATATATCCACCTGTTAAAAAAAAATCAGTTTAGCCGACAATACTACACAATTATAGGTTATGGTGGTATAATTTTAAACTGTTTGGTTACCTATATGAATGATGGCATCTAAACTCTGGCTTTCAGTTACAAAACAAAAATCATCCCGAAACGGTCAATAATAAAAAAAAAAGTTTACCATTGTTGCCGTGGTTCTATTTTTAAGACTTCGTTTTCCATCAAATGAATCAGTTGATTTGTTATGACTTTACAAACTAAACTATACATTGAAACTTTAAATTGCCGAATGTAATTTCTAATTATGCCAAGTATATTTATTAAGAAAATCAACAAAATCAAATATATCTATAAAGTTGTTTTTTTTTTTTTTTTTGTTTTTTTTTTTATTTTATTCCTGCTCGTTTATTCTTTGGTAAGCTTGTCCGACAGTATATTTTGAATTTCTAAAGCTGTCTTTTTTTTTTTTTTACCAAAACAAGTAAAGTATGGATGTAGTTGATGCAATCATTAAACAAGATTTAATATCTTATTAGTGATAATTAACAAGCTTATTGGCGAACCCCTTTAGTTTTATGCAACAACTGAGACACAAGCGTCTGGTCGGAGCATTGATGACTAGTTTATAGTCACACAAGTTAGATGGAAATAAACAGTAAAGAAAACTAACTTTGGCTTGGTAACATGGACTACTGCCCTTTAGGTTTTGATTTTATATTGCTAAATCTCTAGAATAATTTCCTTGTTTTACTTTATTTGAAACATTGTAAATGTATACAATCTTAGTATTGAAAGTTCAAAAATTAAAAGTATGTATCTTGTAAATTTTGCTATCGCAACGTATTTATTTTCGTAAAAAAAAAAAATAAGACAGCACTTTTACCTGTGGTAGTATATAATTAAAGCCCAATCTAAACACTCGTGTTACTTTTACACATGTTAATCCAGAAAACGTAAACATTGATAAACAATTTGTAATCGAAAGGAAAAGAACCACAAAAATTGGGCTCAGAAGATATTGGTGAACGTAATAAAATTATAGGACATAATTATTCCAATTTTATTTAATCCACGAAAGTCTCCAAGATAAAATCTGGTGGAAACCACAGAGGCATCCGCCATATTGGCTCTTTTGGGCGTTTGTCTTTATTAAGGGTATGCAATTCAATGTCTAAGATGTCGCAACCGAATGCGTCAGTTAATATCAATGACTAACAGACTAAATAAGTATCAATTAAGTGTTTCGATTGTATTTTGCATGTTTGTGGGCCATATTAAATGTTGACCAAGCTAAAGTAATCTGGCACAAAATCATAAGGAGTATGAGCAACACACAAACACAAAACAATCGTGGGATTCTTTCAAAATAAGTAGCAAATAGTAACACTTATTATCGAATCAACTGAAAATCTCAGCTGCTGTTTTAGAGGCTGATCATTGTTACTCAAAAGATGGAGACAATACCATTACTGTTCCAATATGAACCACAGTATTCCTTCAGCCTTGTTCGATTTCTCCCAAAGAAGCAAAGAAGGCTACATTGACTGATTACTTCTGGTTAGGAAAAATTCAGATTGTCATCTGCTACAAATGAAACAAGTCCAATGTGTTCTTGATGGTGGTTTCCTGTTTCAGCGAGATATAGCCTCGTTGATCAACATACAATGCTCTCATTCACCTGTATGTAGAGTATGCGTCACGAAGATACGAGAGTACGGTTGTCTTTCTGATGGTTATGGAAACGTTTCATATCTCCTCATCAATCTTAGATAAAGAAATGGTAATGATGGCTGTGATGTTACACTGGTCCCATGATGCTCTGCTTTCAGAAAGAGCTATTTAAGTAAAATTATAATAATAAGCACATATTCATTTGAATGTTTAGTAAAGCCCTTGAAAAGCTTGGATACGAAATTTCCATTACCAGAGACATTGCTGACTTTTATTGTTAAAAAAATTGCATCTGTAGCAAGCTAACCAACTAGGCCTATTGGTGAAGACGCTGAACTTTTAGTGCTTTTGTTGCACCTTGTGAAACCTGACCAATGACGTTTTTACAATGGAGGCAAAAATATCACATTAAAAACAAAAAGTAGGGACTAATGTTTTAGAAGCAACGAAGACGCTGGTTGATTACCATTTAATTCAGGACGCATCTTGCGTATCCACAAACTTTCTCTAGTGCGTAACATTTCTTAATTATCCGCACTCCCAAAGATGTTACAAGATGACATTTGTGTTACAGTCCTGTAAAGAGTGGCGAAGGATGGACGACTGTTTATATGCTGTGTTTTTCGCATACTCTTTAATACGCGAGCTTAGATAACGTATTGTAGAATCCACAAAGCCAAAGTTAAACCTTGAACATGTAAATTTTTTATATGACGTAAGAGCGATGCGTTATAGGAATCCAGACTTTAAATTTAGATTAATTACTTAAATGAAACATCGGTTTTAAAAACAATTCTAAACATAATATGTGGGTAAATTTTGATTATTCAGAATAGATTTAATTTTTTTCCTTAATTGTATAGAATAATTACCAGTAAATGGCAGAATGCAATAAAAACTTTGTTTTCAACCTGTTTACTAATTGTTGGAGCGTTCAGAGCTTTTAAATAATTCCCGATAACGCTATCAATTAATTCTACAGGAAATTTTTTTGAAAAACAACTTTTATATTTTGTATTTCTTCATGGAAAGAGGAAAAAGAACTAACTATGTTATAAGCTCGATGAATTGAATTATAAATTATGCAGATGTAAATTGAAGATGGCTGTGTTTGAGCCTTTGGGTTTTCATCTGACCATTTATCCCATGTGTCGCTATGAGGTACGTGTTTTTCAAGTTGAAAATACCAAACGTCTTTTTTCACATACATTCAAAAACTGGGCCATCTGTATGAAAATCTTCCAACTACAAAAATGTTTAAGTTGAACACTATGAAACTTTAGTTACCAACTGAACAGTGTGTGGGTGGGGATGGCCGAGTTGGTTCGTGTTGTTACGTATTATTTGTTTCTACAGCTTTAGTGTTAATTGAACGTTGTCTAATTTATACTAGAAGATATAAAAAATTTGAGAGGTTATAGGTTAACTTGTAAAATGTTAATTAAATAATAGTGCCGCTGAGTAAAATCGAGTGTGAAACCTAGTTTTTTTGGCTTTCTGCTATCGAGACATGATGCGGGTTGTATACATGTTTATATACTAATTTGCAAATACGTCGAAACTTCATTGTGTACATAAAGACGCTTAGAAAAACATTTCTATATCCAAATGAGCTGAACGTGGCCCAGTTGTTAACTTACCGGACTGTGGATATAAAGTTTTTCAACCATTCGGCCAAACAATAATATTCCAAGAGTTGGCGGTGGGTGTTGTTAACTGGCTGGCTTTTCTTTATGTCATCAGCTCAAAATTGCTAGCGCACACAGTTCTGGAAGAGCTTTGCGCAATTATTTAGAAGACAAACACGCCATAACTAAAATATATATTTAAAAAAACGTACTTATATTTAATGGTATTAAATGACTTAACCTAGAAAAATTGCTGCGTCATATCTTGTAGTTGATCTCGTCTTTGTTTTGTATGAACGTCTTCGGATAACTTTCTATCAGAAGAAACTCTGAATTATGTATATGATGAAGCTTAGAACATCAGTTGTCGACAGATGTCACATATGTTTAATTACGTTGGTGGTGGCCACTGAACAGAGGTTGTGTTACATTACCGAACGAAGAGAGTAGCACACACAATTACCAATAATTATCTTGATGCACATACTATTCTTATATTAATAAATATTTAAACGCATTATTTAACTGAGAATAAGTTGTATATAGAATGTACTTGTACAGAAATGGTTGGGTGGTTTTGTTCGAAAACAAAGCTATACAATAAGGCTATCCAAGCTGTGTCCACCAAGGAGAATCGTACTCCAGATTTTAGCGTTTCAGTTTTGTAAACGTACCATTGACTCTCTATGGGGGGGGGGGGAGCACTTAGAGGAATAGAAAACCAAACTTACGTGGAACTGAAGCGTTTGGAGACCACATGTAAACATTTATAGCTGAATGAATACGTTATGAAATACAACATGGGAAGTGAAACTGAACAGATTGTAGTACTTAAGTGGACATTTATGTCAACTAGTTTATTAAGGTGTACGTGCCTATCTATGTTACACGATTTAAAAAGTATATTACAAACTGAGACAAATATCCAACGAAAATCAGTTTACAGACATTGTGTATATACGAGTTTCGCAAGTATCTTAATAGCTGCATTTGATAAATTAAACGTTTACAATTTTCACGCGAAATATAAAATAATTTTATAACCTCAAACTGCAGGACTTTGCTTGTTCTTCTTCTAAGTTTACCAAGAAAACAATAGGCCTGTATGGTAAGCTCATTTTCAGGAGCAATGTGCTAAAAATGAGTTGATGATTACCTGGATTCACAACTACTTCTTTTCCCTTGATATACAAACTGAAGTCCTAAGAGACTACGTACTTTATGATGAAATTGAATAACAAGTTACTTTTAGGAGATTTTAAAGTATTCAGGATACGGGTCCGTTTGTTTCGGATATTCGCGCAAAGCTACACAAGGGCCAACTACTCTAGCTGGTCCCAAGTTTGAGCTTGTAGACTAGATGGAAGTTAACTAGACAACAACATCCATTGATAGTGGTTGG